AGCAATGCATGACTTTTGCTTCATATGAACTGAAGTGAAACAGTAGCCTATGTCGTAAAGCAGTGATTCCCAAGCGGAAGTGCTTGTAGTGGTCCATGTTTTATTTCTTGGTTAGTATAATAAAATAGGGCTTGGGTCAATTTTGCTTTTTAAAGACCCAACTGAAAAATTTAACAAGCTATTATCAAACAAAACATAAGTTTTTCTTTGAATTCACCTTCAGCTGTGACACATCAGAACCAAGGGGAGGAACAGACTGGATGTAGAGTACAGCCATCAGCTGTTTTTCACACTGATTTATCGGAGCTAATCAAAGCAGCTCAGGTGTCTTCATGAAAGCAAACTGCTAATTAAGTCAGTCTGACTATAATTTTTTTGTTCTGTATTTTGCTCCAAATTCATCCATTTTAGATGTGATAATAAGGGAGTTACTCAGAGGACCTCCAGTTTTATGAATACAGGTTAATAATATGATTTTATTTTGTTTTTTTTTTCTATTCCTAAACAAACTTCCAGGCAAAATATTGATGTTGTTTTTTATTTGAGATGGAAAGAAATAATAAAATTAAGTTAAAAGTTTACGTAAAATAGTTTTTATAATAAGTTATTGTATGTTCCACTTTTGGACAATCATCCATATTTTTGACTCAGAGGGGTACTTATGGTAAGAAAAAATGCCCAAAGGGAAACAGAAGTCAAAAAAGGTTGGGAAAAACTTTCTTAAAGTACTGGCAATTAAATCGAGACGCATATTTCTTTTTGCCGCCCTGCAGAAAGAATGACAAATCCATATTACAACCATTAATTGCTATCTCCACTTCTAGTGACTGATGCCAGAAAAAAGTAGCCTTTTTTTCTCCTAAAATACATAAACATGTGAAATATGCTAAGCTCAACTGTGACTTTGACTATCTACTGTCATCAGACGACAGACGCTGCTAAGATTAAGCTTTACTGTATCAGGAAGTGGGAATACAAGGTGAAAAAGTGATAATTCCCTTTATGACTTTCCCACTCCAGCCTTTTAGGTGGCAGTAAAGCACTTAAAGAGGGTTTGATGCCACACAGAAGGAAAGCAAGAGTTGTGGCTGGCATGCAAATCCATTCATGCAAGAAGAGGTAAAAACTTTCCCTCTCAACAATAACAATAAAGTCATGCTTCGATGGACTCTTGAAAAGCATGTTTCAAAGAAAGGAAAGCAAAAAAGAAACTCTGGATTGAAACATCTAGACAACTGCGCTTAGTGCAGCGGAAAACCCAAAAAAAATCACAGTCACAGTACAGATCACAACAAATCCAACTTTTTTAGACATTCAGCCTTACTGGGGACCTTGTTAGAGTTTATATCAATAATTAATGAGGAATTTCAAGTAGAAAACAGGTCAAGCAAACATAGAGATAGCAAATAAGGAATTCAGCGCATGTTCCTTGATCAAATATGCAAAGCTTGATGCCAGAAATTAGCTGGATAGTTTAATCCTACCATAACAATAAATAAGTGTTATTCATTGACTTCAATAGGAAGAATTCAGAGAAGTGATAAAAATGGTGAAAAAGTAGGAAAGAGTTCATAGAAAGAAGTTTGCTAATGTCATAAAATAGGTTCTGAACAATATCAGAAATGTTTCTGTTTTTGGAGTAAAATGTAGTGATTTAATTTCTTCATAAATCGGTGTCCAAGCATGAAGCAGTTCAGTAAGCATGAAAAAGGGGCGATAAATTATAATTTACCTACACTCATAAAATAAATCTTGATCCATCAGGAAAGATCTTCAGAAAATGGCATTGTAAATTACAATAATTGTTTTGGACTTCCTGGTTAAGATTCACAGTTTTTATTCCCTGCCTTAATAAAAATATCCCTGACCCCATACCCACTCTGCCCATGAAAAGGGTGGAAACGGCTTCAAGAAGCAGTCATAGACTCACCTGATTCCTTTATACATCGTCAATCACTAATGACTTCAATCCAGTTTTAAGG